AGAGCCTGCAGCCGGCCCAGGGCCCCGGTATCATAAAGAAAGCCCACAAGAGCAGCCACAACTGGTGGATGCCATGCACTGGCATGAGGATCCCGCAGTAGGCCCATCAGGAGCTCTAAACCACCAGCATCCCGTAGGCGGGCTCGGTTGATGGCCTCCCGGCACAGGAGGCACACAGCCCGCACCAGGGGCTGCTGAGAAGCTGGACCGGCCCCATTGGGGCCCCGGCGTCGCTGGAGCTCACCTAGTAACACCTCCACACCGCCAGCATTGCCCAGTGCAGGCCGGACCAGCCCCTGGGCACACAGGTTGGCAAGGATCAGAATGGTTGTTTCACGTACCATACGTTTCGGGTGAGAAGCCAAGCTAACAGTGGACCCAGCCCCCCACCCAGACTTAGCTGCTCAGCACAGGCCCGGGAACAGCCTCGGCTGAGTTCCAGGAGGGCACGGACTAGGGCTGAGGTCAGTGCAGGGTCTGGGGCAGCAGCCAGGAGCTCAGCCAGTGGGCGCACGGCTCCCTGCTGTGCCAGGGCCAGGCGGTGCTGGGGTGAGTCTGCCAGGTTGCGGAGGGCACGCACCACACTCTGTAGGCACTGAGAGTCCTGACAGGCTGTTAGGCTCTGCACGAGCAAGGGAACGGCACCTGAAGGGGAAAAGAGAGGACACAGGGTAAGCAAGGACAGACACCTAATCCCTTCTCCTGCCACAATCCCTAGCTAACCAACCTCAGAGCCGTCTCACCAGCAGAGTGGATCTCCCCACAGCTCTCAGGTTCCATGGCTAAATTCCCTAGAGCGCGAGCTGTTCGGTTCTGGATGCTGTCTGTCTTCACACACTGCAGAATGGTCACTGCAAAGGAAGTTTGGGTTCTTGTCAATCATCTCAAGAATGTGGCTACTCGGGGTCGGGGAAGGCCTTCAGAATATGCTGGGTCAGGAATCCTAAATAGGCCAAAGCCCAGAGAAAACACCAAGGGTCTGTACCATAATCTCATGAAGAGCCTGAAATGCCAGGCCAAGGGGTCAAGACTTAAATGTAAAGGCACTGAGAGCCACACAAGGGTTTTAAGAGTGACGGGATGATACAATCTGGTATTCAAGGCCATGAGGGCCTTGAGGAGAAAGGAATAAGGCAGAGGGAGTGGTGAGGAAGCCATCATAATAGTCTAGGTGAGAAAGGACGAGTCAATTGCCTGTCCTGACCGGCACAGTCTCTAAGCACCAGGGATGGAAAGAAGTGGATGGATTCCAGAGATATTTTAAAGACAAAAATACTTAAAGGATTCACGAGGGTTAACACACTTAACACCGATCACTTCTTGAGAACTTACTAATG